ATAATAATAATAATAATAATAATAATAATAACTTTATTTACGTGTCAATGAGATTTAGCATTGCTGCTAATTGGGGACACCTAAAAAGAATTACAATCATCAGCGCTATGCACAAATAAATATCCCATCGAAAACAGCGCTATTTCATCAATAACGTAAATATTTGTACCACAAACCAGCCAAAAAACTACATGGCGACGTTACATTAACTTACTAACCTAACGCAACCTTTTAGTATTTCGTTTTCTTTTTGTTTTTATCCACAGAATTCTTATCACTGTTAAAAGCGTTTGACTGAAAATCAGTAAGCTAAATAGGAATAATGTTACGTTCTGATAGACATACAACTGAAAAAAAAGTTTCCACTTGTGATATTATGACCCTTTCTGTGTCTGGGCTTGTTTCACGAGTTTCTGCTTGACAAGATAACCTGCCACTTACCTCGGATTTGACAGAATTCTTATTGTTAGGTGTCACTGAGAGCTGCATAACACAAGGGAGAGATGAATTTATCAGACGATATGCATGCCTCACGACTGGGAATCACGAAAACGTAAATATCTACAAACCTTTTCTTCATACAGAGCTCTTGCCGATTGCTTTCCTAATTCTGATGTTTCAACACTTGTCGAGGCCAACTGAAAAAATTAAACAAAAATACTAACATTGACAACATTAGCAAACGCATAATTCATGTTTAATAGTTAATTACCTGAAATAATTAATTGTGAAAATAAAACACAAGATAACTGGTACATCCCAAAGCCCTGAGGAAAAACTAAACTTGTCCTTATAGGTTAATGATCCTTGTAGCCTACTGTTAATAAAAAAAAGACTGGAAAAGCGCGAGTTTATTAGCTACTTTCGCAAGAGAATTGAGTATTGTATGGAAAGCGTTTTTTACTATTTCTTTTGGTAAGAGGTTTTATCCCTGTAGGTTATGCGTCTTTTACCTTCTTGTACCCTCTCTCCATTCTTTGGAGCCTGGCATTTGCTCGGCCCAAGTCATTTCTGGCGTCTATTCTTGCACGTCTATCCTGCAAGTGCGTCCTCTATGAAACAAAAATGTTGTTAAGTTACTTTGACATACAGCCAAGAGGAAACATGACCTATGCAATTAATTTTCTTTGCGAGAATCTACACTAGAATTCGCCAATTTTTTTTCAGAGTAACTAGGAGCTAAAACGCGATAACCATCTGGTGAGTCGCTTCTTTTTGTGCGAGCCGATTTTCACGCATTCTTGTATGCTTTCAGTCACGCTCAACTGAACCAAAACGAGGGACTACTGTAGTAATCCCTTTAGCTGAATACTTTCACGAACCTGCAGTTAGGCTTAAAGACATTTATGTGGTCAGATGTTCTCAACTGGATTATCCAGTCAACGCGAAACTAATCCTCCGAGCCCACGAGCAATGCCAGCTGCGGAGGCAGTAGCCGTGGAAACAAATTTTATCACAAATATGAGTCATGTGGATGGGCCAGTGAGTGATTAGAAACAACAGCACTAGACCCATGTATTGCTTATCACTTACTAGTCATTTAAACTAAGTGAACTTAAAAAAAGTTACCTTGTGTTCGCTAAATTGGAAAATCGTATATCATGGTGCAATCCAAAATATTGTGTGTTAGCTGACAACTTTTTAGTCATCTATGCAGTCATTACCTCCATTTTCATATAAAGTTTCTGATACTGTTTTAACTGCAAGAGCAGTTGTTCCTTTTCCTTGTCTAATAAGAGAAGAGAAAACCGAAACATAATTAAGGTCGATTTACAAGCTGTTTATTCCATTTATAGGATTGAAGAAGAATGTATAAAATCGCTTGGAATGTTGAAGCGATTTTAGGGCGTCTTTGAAATTCCTAAGCCTTAATTTTAAATACATATTTTCATATTTTTAACGATTTTGTTTCAGCTTCCGAATCTTACCGTTAACATTGTTTCCTGCTTTCATTTTTGTTTCGTGGCAATCGAATGTTTCGTATTAAACTCCGCGTATTAGTTACTGGAATGATGAAAGCATTTTGGGTATTTTTAAGGAACAGCGCTCCCTATAGATAATGGTTTTAGACATATAAATTGAGAAAAAAATCCTTGTTAGAACGACATAAATCTTAAGCGGTCTTTCGTAACAAGGGTGTGAGCCAATCAAAATGCTAGAAATATAACAACCCGAGTAGAAATAATTTCTGCTTATATACAGAATAGTAAACGAGTAAAAGTAATCACCTTTACGTCCAAACGCTTTCTTAAACAACCATCCCTGAAAAAAGTTGTAACTCAATTAACTTACTCGCGACACCTCAACCAAGGATTAAATCCAAGACGTTATTTGTATTTATACACTTACCATAAAATACCCAAGGGGAATATTGGCGAGCAATGTCACCATCGATAGTCCTTTCAACTAGAATATTGAAAAGAAGCAATAACGTTTTTTATCACACGACTTTGTAAGTTCAGAGGACCAATAACTAAAATCAAAAATCAGATTACTCCACTGTCGGTCTAATATTCCCTCCGCATTGTCCCGAATAATCCCGCACGATCACTCTTGAAAATTTTTTGGCTGTTTTATGGCTTACGTTGGTGAAACAACTTTAATTAAGAATAACAGATTTCTTTTCTTTTTCTTTCAACTATCTTTCCTTTCCTGTGTGTAACACCGATGATGAGCCGACTGCAATAAAACACTTCCAAATGCTTTTGGCTATCGGGAAGTGCGTTTAAATAACAAACGTTATTAATCAAAACGTTTTTCTTAGACAAACGTTTTGAAATGAAAGAAATCTGGAGAAACGTAGGCTTATGTATTCACATTCAGCGGTACTTAACTGTAAGTGACAGTAACAAAGGATGAAAAGTCCGTAGGGACGTGCCAGTGGATGGAAAACCAAAACTTGAGGCTTGCATTTTTTTCCATTAATTCCGTTAATTCCGTTAATTCCCCAAATTTTCCGAGGTATGAGTCTTCGTTCAAATTTATGATTAATTGCAGTGTTCGTTAATAATCCATAAAAAAAAGTACAGCTCTTCTAGCTTACCTCCAAATAAATCAGTTTGATTAATCCTGTAAAATCAACGCAACTAAACGCTGCAGTTAATTGAACACTGCCAGTCTAAAACGTAAATAAAAGGAGAAAAATGAATCGTAAAATTGTTGGAAAATAACTTGTATTTTTGTAGTCAGCTTGCCCCGAAAAAAAAGACGGAGAAATTTTCCGTCCCGTACAGAGAGTCCAAGGTTAATTTGCATCATGCGAGTACTGGAAATTACGGAGCGACAATTTTTCCCTTATTATGACTTTTTTTATAGGAACACAGAAACACTTTCTGTTTTGTAAATGCTGGATACTTGGCTCGAAAAAGACAATTAAGTATATGTACACCGTAATTAATTTCATCGGCCTTAAAACCACGACTTATTACTTCCAAATACAAAGCTATGGAAACAAACCTGGAAGAAGGACGAGTTAAGTTGTCTTACTTCTTTAGGGGTGTTGTGAAACACGCCTGTGTCATCTATGAGTAAAGATAAAATATAATAAGTTGTATTTCTGTTTTGTGCGGTTGATCGGCTTTCTTTTCTCATAGAGCTCCGAGAAAAACGACTTGCTCATCTTAAAAAGCGCATTTTCATGACTAAATCAATTAATTACTCGGTTGGCGTGAATTCAGATTAGTGTTTAATCCTTTGCGCGTTCGCCCCTAATCTAGAGGAAAGCAAGCTAATTTGTGTTTTGGAGTAATGGGTCGTGTGAAACAACAAAACTATAAGAGCAAAGGATTTTAAGATACTGTTTAGTTAATTTTGCTTAAGTGAATGGTTCCCATATGTTTGCTCAGCGGAAATAAGTTCTTTCTGACAAATTAGTTTTCTCGAGAAAAGTATTCTAAGCCATCGCTTGAAAAACTGAATTTTTCTTTTTTGACTAAAACATCTAGTCTAACAATTCATATATTCTCTAGCCCTCAACACTACCTTTGTAATCCACTTGTCCTATTATTAGTAGAACCAACGAAACGCTTAAAAATATCCAACGAATCATGCTGATCGATTCAATCAACCATCCGAAAAGTTTCCACCACCGAACAAACTTTATTCGGCGCGCGCACATTTTTTGTTTATTTCGTCACGTAATTAAGACCGTTAGATGACGTCAAGTATGACAGCCAATTAAATTACTAGCAATTCACTAATAGGGTTTGCTTTATAAATAAATGAAGGTTCACTTTTGGAAAGGAGATTTCTTAAAGATCAAACAAACTTACCTTGTTAAACAAAGCGTTTGTCGAATCAGCATATCGATTAATAGAGAATCTGTTTGCACTGGGCGCGTGCGTGTCACTGTTGATTTTCTTTTTTTTTTTTTATTTTCAACGCAAAAAAGAATTGCTTCAGTTATAAGCTCAACTCAGAACAAATTTAATATTGGGGATATCAACGCAAAATCCACGCGTGAAAATACGCAGATATTTGTGCACATGTTGTCTAAAACTGGTCGGGAAATGCCATGCGCGCGCATAACCATCGGGGAGGCGCGTGCCCAGTTCGCGCTATGTACCAGCCAAATAACCTGTGAGTGCTAAACTAAATTACAGACTATAGCTTCAGCGTCTGAAAATCCAAATTTATGCGGCACAGTGTGTTTGTATTCTGCAAGAAGGGAAGGGCAATCTGAGTTTTTATAAGCTCGAATATTAAGTCTCGCCATTGCTTGCGTAGAACGCAAGGAAGTCGAATTTTCAATATTTGTGTCGAATTTTTGTTCTAAAACAATTGTGACTGAATTTCAACATATATCGAATTGGCCAGGTTGCCAGGCCAATTCCGAAATAGCATATAAGCCTTACCTCTAAGGACCTTTAAGCCCTGTCTGAACATCATTCCTTAAGCTCTCCGTGATAAGAACGTCTGGGTGGGGGTGTGTGTGAAAATGTCAGTTATCTTCGAGCTATATAAAAATGTCGCGGAAACCGTACCTCACTTATTTTGATGAAATTTGGCATTCAGTCTTGTTATTTGGAAAATATCGAGAGGGCCGAATTTGAGTGATCTTGGCGGGCCCTCCAATATAGCGGATCGAAGGAGTTCTTGTTACTTAAGTGCTGGGTCTACCAATGCAGTTTCTCGAAATATCTTGACACAGGTACAAAGAACTATCTTTCTTTTTTGTATTTATCAAAAGAAATCCGGAAAATGTTACGATTTCATCAACCAACGGCCAAGGTATTCGATGCTAATTTTCGTCGCTTCGAATAGACACAAATTTGCTGCAAAGTAGAAGGCTGATATCGCCAATGAGCTAGAGGAAAACGAGGGGCCGGAGTCTAGAAAACACGGGGTGTGGAAAACACTGGTTCTGGTAGAAAACACGGGGTCTGCCTAGATTGCACGGGGCGCCATTTTTTTTCGCCAAAGTTTCCTTCTTAAAATGAGAAGTCGAAATTTTGTTAGTTTAAATCGCAGGGGAAATCAATTCAGCATTCAGTACCAAAAGGCAAATTTAACATTTCGTGAGGAAGAAAACCATTCAAGAGCCAAAGTGTCATGTATTATAAGTAGGCGTCGTTTTGCCACGAGACACATTTTGGACTTTCCAATAGACCATATTCGTATTCTCGGTATTGGACTGGAACTAGCTTGCAACGGAGGCTTATGCTTCTTGAAATGCCAGTTCTAACATAAAGTCGGCTCAGTTCTGTAGCTGCTAGCTTTAATATCAGCGCGAACAATCTCCAAGTTGCCCCCATATTTACAAAATTAGTTACTTTTCGGTAAAGGGGAGGTATCAGAAAAGAGCGCCGGGAGAAATTAATAAAATAATAAACAATAAACTACAAACGAACGAAGCAAATTACAATAACAGTGAATGAGACAAAAAAAAAGTATAACATAAAACGGACAAGATTTAGGAGAGAGCGATTTTGGACATTGTTTAGACAGTGGATAGCATTTGATGTTTTCAGAAAGAGCGTACTCATTCAGATCTGTTAGGTGTTGTGGTATGGTTTTCTAAATATCAATTGCCTTAAACGAGAATATCTGCTAGCCAGTATTCGATCTAACTTACGGCTTGTACAAATTTTGTTGCTTTGGTCTTGTAACTATCCACGTCAATAGTATAATAGGACGTCTCGCGAAATATATTGGATAGTGATCGTTAACGCTAGCGGTGAGTGAATTTTAAAGCGTAAAGGGAATAAACATTATCTACTGTGAGTATGTCCAGCAAATTCACAGTATACAAGTGGCCGTTTTGCTTCTCGATCCACTTTCTATCTACCCGAAGTTCGTCCTAACTATATGAATTTAACATTAGATTTTCAGGGCCAAAACTCTGGAATGAAATTGACCACTCAAATAAGACCCTAAATAATCGAGCCTTCAAACGTCAAATTAAATCAAAGCTTACTAGCAGGTATTAA